TTAAAGAACTTGTTAACCCACATGAGGTTGCGAAAATGATGGAACTAGATTTTAGTGAATGTTCCAGTTCTTGTGATATTTCTATGTCTCGAGAAGACCAAAAATTTATATCTTTGTTGCAAGAAGGTATTCACATGACAGATGGTCATTATGAAATGCCGTTACCGTTCAAAGATTTTGTTCCTGTTCTACCCGATAATAGATCCTTAGCTTTTCATCGTCTTGGTCAGTTGGGAAAAAGACTTGCCAAGGATGACTTATACCAAACCCAGTATACTGCATTTATTGAAAGACATGATCAAGAAGGGTTATGCTGAGAGGGTCCCAATGGAAGATATTGACCGTAAGGATGGCCACGTGTGGTATATTCCACAAAATGGTGTGTTCCATCCGCAGAAGCCTGACAAGATCAGGGTGGTTTTTGACTGTAGTGCTCAGTTCAAGGATAAATCTCTTAATGGTCTTTTACTCCAGGGTCCAGATTTAATAAGTAATCTGATCGGAGTTCTTTGTAGATTTAGGGAGGAAGTTGTGGCCTTCACTTGCGACATCCAACAAATGTTCCACCAATTCAGGGTAAATCCAGAACATCGGGATTTCTTGAGGTTTTTGTGGTGGAAGGATGGAGATCTTAATGGTGATGTTGAAACATATCACATGAATGTCCACCTTTTTGGCGCGGTTTCGTCTCCTGGATGTTCAAATTTTGCCCTCAAACAGGTTGCTTCTGATTACGAAGCTGAGTTTGGGTCTGATTGTGCAAGTTTTATCAGGAGAGACTTTTATGTTGATGACGGATTAAAGTCCGTGCCCTCCGTGAACGATGCTATTAGTTTGATAAATCGGAGCAAAGAAATGTGCAGTAAAGCTGGTTTACACTTGCACAAGTTTCAATCCAGTTCAAAGGATGTACTTAATCACATATCTGTTGATGATAGGTCTAGTTGCCTTAGAGATGTCGATTTGCTGCGAGATGATTTGCCTGTTGAGCGTACTCTTGGTATACAATGGTGTGTGGAATCGGATACCTTCCAGTTCCGTATCACTCTAAAGGACAATCCGCTTTCCCGTCGTGGTGTTTTGTCCACATTGAGTTCTGTTTATGACCCTCTTGGCTTTCTAGCTCCTGTGATTTTGATAGGCAAACAGCTTCTTCAGCAAATGTGTAGAAATAACACTGATTGGGATAGTCCTTTATCTGATGATTTTAAGCCCCTGTGGGAGAGATGGAGACATGACATCTTGCAGTTGCATTCCTTGCAGGTGCCAAGGTGTATAAAACCTGCAGACTTTGGTTCTATCGTGAGATCCGAATTGCATAACTTCTCAGATGCAAGCTTTAAGGGTTATGGCCAGTGCTCATACCTGAGACTGATAGACTCTAGAAATCATGTTCATTGTTCGCTTTTGTTAGGCAAATCCAGAGTTCATCCCTTAAAACAAACAACAATTCCGCGTCTAGAACTTACTGCAGCCGTGGTTTCAGTAAAGGTTGGTAATTTGCTGCAGCGGGAATTAGACTTGGATCATATTGAGCAGTGGTATTGGACCGACAGTAATGTTGTCTTGGGTTATATTTCCAACGACTCCCGTAGATTTCACATCTTTGTCGCAAATAGAGTACAGGAGATTCGGAACCATACAGAACCAAATCAGTGGAAATTCGTTAAAAGTGCTGACAATCCAGCCGACATTGCATCTAGAGGTGCATATGCTCAAGAATTGTTAGAATCCTCTTGGTTCACTGGTCCAAAATTCTTGTGGGAGCCTTCCATACCTTCTGTTAATGATGATACCGAGATCAGAAACTTGTCTCCTGATGATCCAGAAGTTAAGAAATCTATTGTTCATACTTCTTTAGCCATATGTGCTCATTCCAGTATTCTTGAACGAATAGGATATTTTTCTGATTGGACTCGTGCGAAGAAGGCAATTGCGGTCTGCCTCAGGTTTAAGGAAATGCTTGTCAAACGTTCTATCAAGAGGTGTTCCAATGTGTCATGTAAGTTTGATGTTGAGCTGCGTTTAAAAAATTATCATCCAGTTCAGGTGAACGAGGTTCAATCAGCCGAAAGAGAAATCATAAAGTTAGTGCAGAAAGATGCTTTCAGCGATGAGCACGAATTATTGTCAGCAGTTGTCAAGTCTCAGAACAAAAATTCAAATTTAAGGCATTTTAGTGTTTTGCAAAAAGGTTCTCCGATTTTCAAGTTAGACCCTTATATGGATGGGGAATGTATCATTAGAGTTGGCGGTCGTCTAGCTAATTCGCAGTTTTCTCTTAGCGAGAAACATCCCATTATCTTACCCAGGAAGGGACATGTATCTGATCTGATTCTTAGACATTTCCATGAGAGAGTAAAACACCAAGGTCGGGGAATGACCATAAATGAAATCAGAGCAAATGGTTTCTGGCTTCTTGGTTGCAGCTCTGCAGTTTCTTACCTGATATCTCGCTGCTTGATTTGCCGTAAACTGAGAGGCTCATTGCAAGTACAAAAAATGGCCAACTTACCCTCTGATAGACTCGAACCAACGACTCCGTTTACCTATTCTGGTGTAGATTACTTCGGACCATTTTACATTAAAGAAGGCAGAAAAGAACTTAAACGTTGGGGTGTTTTGTTTACGTGTCTCTGTTGTAGAGCCGTGCATGTAGAGGTAGCATGTTCTTTAGATACGAGCTCCTTTATAAATGCTCTTCGTCGTTTGTTGTCAATTCGTGGTTCGGTTCGTGTTCTAAGATCTGACCGTGGTACTAATTTTGTAGGAGCACAGCACGAGCTCAAAGACGCCTTTGGTGAGATGAATTTTGACCAGATACGTCACTTTCTACTAAATGAGGGCTGTGACTTTCAATTTAATATGAACGTTCCATCCGCTAGCCACATGGGTGGCATTTGGGAGCGCCAGATCCGCTCGGTTCGCAACATTTTATCCGCTTTAATGTTACAAAATGGGTCACAATTGGATGACGAAGCTTTACGCACTTTCATGTGCGAAGCGGCAGCCATTGTTAATAGTCGTCCGATTACTGTTATGAATGTGAATGATCCTCTTTCTGCTGAACCCCTAACGCCAAATCACCTTCTTACTTGTAAATCCAAGATCATTCTGCCACCTCCTGGAAATTTCAAAAAGTGCGATTTGTTTTCCAGAAAACATTGGCGCAGAATCCAATATTTGGCAAATGAGTTCTGGGTTAGATGGAAACGGGAATACTTACATAACCTTCAGGAAAGGGCTAAATGGATTCCTGCTCGCCGAAATCTTTGCGTTGGTGATGTCGTTATGATAATGGACGAAAACCTCCCTAGAGGTCAATGGCGATTAGGAATGGTTTCTGAGGTGTTTCCAAGTAATGATGACCTAGTAAGAAAGGTCAAGGTACAAGTAGGCGAACCAGGCTTAGATAACAAAGGCAAACGAATAAGAGATATGAGTTTCTTAGAAAGACCTGTTCATAAACTGATTCTTTTGAGAGAGACCGAGTGATTCCCAGTCGAGGAGCCAGTTATATATCATTGTATTGAATAATTTGTTTTTCTTTCTATGTACATTGATATTTTATTTTTAAGATGCGAATGTTTAAATCGATCAAATTCGTCAGAACAAGTTTTGTAAGTTAAATGCGTTATATAATTATATACCGTATATGTTTTATTGTTGTTGTTAAAATTAGATAATCCTAATTTTGGGGAGCCATGTTGATGCCGTCGCGTTGGTTGTGGTACGAATCGGCTTAGTGCGAAACATATTTAATTCCGACGTGATTATCTCCCTTTGACTTTTCTGCGGCATTTGTAACGATTGTTAAACGTTTTGGGGGAAAACGATCTTCGAAGAGTTTTTAAGTTCTAAATAGTGGCAAAGAGGTTTGTTATGCAGAATTGTTGTCTATTTTATAATATTTTGACTATATTTTTCTATGGAGTATTGTATTGTTGCATTTCGAACCAAATGTTTGATATTTTAAGTCTCAGAATTCGATTGTGTTTTGTCTTTTCAGTTTTCACGTGAGCATTGCGAACAATACAATCGAAATTGCGGAAATAAACTAAGCTCTCAGTGTATGTCTTTGTCAATCGGCCAGATTGCGCGCCATCAGCTCGATACCCTGAAAGGCGACTGGTCGCCATACCAATTTTACTCTTGAGATCATCTTCTCAAAAAGATGTTACAAACTGTACACAAAAAAACTTAATCCAAATCCCTAAAGAACAATGTAGCGTGTAGCATTTATTTCAATAGCAATACAATATGAATGAGATTATACAAACAATTTACAAACTGTAAAAGCATCAAAGAGTAATCATTTATTTGAGTCGAATTTTAATAACTGTGCCTCAATTATTTATGACCAAAATAGCAATCGAGAATGTTTCATTAATTATATAAATATTACATTTTGAAACAAGTGTATCTGGCAGTAATGAAGAATATTCCTATTAAAAAAATATGTACATATAAAAATATGAAAAAAAAATGAATTAATAAATCATTCAAATAAAAAAAAACAACATTAATTATTATTCAAATGTAGTTCATGTCACATACATTTCATTAATGTCCCTCTGAAAAGTTTAGGGTGGTGGGATTTTGTTTACTCTATAAAACTTGAGGTGTGGGTTTTTTTCCACTCTGTAAAATTGAGGTGTGGGGTTTTGTCCACTCTATAAAATTTTGAGGTGTGGGCTTTTGACTGGAAGGGGTTTTGTCCTACATTCGCTTTTTTCGCATATGAAGACTAATAGATACTCCTGTAAGATTTTATAAATATTCACACAGCAATTGACGAGAATATGCTTTTTAAGAAAAAAAATACATTTTTATCTCTGTCGACCATCTTGTTTAGCAAAACAGGTCAATTTGAGCAATTGTAATAAAATTCTGCCCAAGGAGCAGGGCTAAGAAAACGACGTTCGACGGGCACAAGACGATCACAACAGTTGACTTTTGTTTAGGTAAGCTAAACATATTTGTTAAATTTAAACACTTACTGCTAACAGTAACATGGTTCTGCTCGTAGAACAATTTGTAAAACTTTACAATCCCTTAGATACTTTTTTGTCCTGCAAAAATAAGGCAACATTAAGTTATTAAATATATAAGCAAGCATTGTAAAAATAGTTTTGCCAAACGACAGACCCATTTTGTACATTAACATATTTGTAATTTAAGCTTGAAATATTGATATTCAATTATCAATTTCAAAATAAAAATCATTTACGTGTTTTTATTTCAGCTCAATAAGAAATAGTTAATGGCATTTAAAGTCTACATAAAACAGAGAACGACGGGACACCTTCGATAGTATTTTTAGTAATAGTGTCGACTTTATTAGTATAATTACAGTGCGTATTTGAATGTTCCTTCATGTCAAAATTAAAACCCCTGCACTCACTCACGAATATAAGTATAATTACACCATGAAATTGTTACCGCAATGTGAAACAAAATCCGAATAAATTTAATGATGAATCTATAAAGAGAGTTTTAAGGACAAAATGTATTGATTTTAATATGTTCGCCTTCATGAACTAATAATCTCGGGTTTAAAGATCCAGTATGTTGTAATTAAGTATGTAACATACGATTTAGTAAAGTTATATATATATATAATTATTATTCTAAAACAATTTCCAACAACCATGAATATGTTTAATATAACAGCAAATATTTATGTATAATTAATATAATTAAACGTCAAAATTAATGCATTATTTTATTGAAAAACTGGCTTAGACTTTATCGAAAATAAATTTCTGATTACCTTACTTAATTACATGAAATGTTAAATTCGGAAGTATCTTTACAGAAACTTACAATATTGAAAAATCTTCATTTGAACAACAGATTTATGATAAACATGTAAATAAAAGAAGAGAAAAAATATTAATAAAAAATAAATAAGTAGAAAACCTTATTCTCATATGTGTAACAAATAATACATGTTACCTTTTTCAAAACAAAAGAACTCTTGATATAAGTGTTTGATTAATAACAAAAGTAAAATTTTGTCCATTGTGTCCTGTAGGTCTGAAAATTTTAAATAAAGGATAAAAAAATCAAAACAATTCATAAAAGCAATATAATAGTCACTCACTAGTCTGTTGACCAATCCAAGATGTGTGCTCTGGAAGAATAACAAACTGTTTAATTCCGCCAAATATGTACGTCGTTTATATAATCTCTTAACATAAAGGTTATCTCTAATGACTTACCTTCATTCTGATTCTTGACGTCATTAAATGATAGAATTAACAGAAATAACTTAAATAAAGAAGTATGAAAGGAAAAAGTGTGCTAAAACATTTTTTTTGCGCATGAAAAGCCCGTTATTATTATTATGATCCAGTTTTTGTATAACATTAGTATTTTGTTAGATCCCTTTAAGATTTGAGAACAAAAATACCACTTTTGGAAAGTTTGAGTGATGTCTGAAGCAATATCAACAAAATTAAAAGAATAAACGAATGACAATATTCTAATTATTTATCTAATTACTTATCGTCTAATATACATTAAATATTATATATTTAGCTATTCTCACTTTTCTGAATTTGAACATTTATACCTGTTTAAAACATGTTTAAAAATTAACACTGCCAGGACCAGTGTTAGTAAAACAAGACTAATTCTTAGTAAATGCTCATTGACTAGCTCGGTTGGTTTCATATTGGCTTCATTTATTTATTTATTTATTGTCAATATCAAATATGAAATTAACTTTGAAAACTGGAATTTGTTTGTTCAGGGTCTGTGGCTGTACGTAAATAAATCGAAACGGTATAAACATGTTGAACACCTTAAAGATAGGGAAATACGAGAAAAGTCCTTTGCAGGTAAGTATATCATAATTATCATAGTTCTGACATAAAAATGACTTCTTTTCAAATCGCCTCGCGAGACATTAAAAGTTCAATTATTATAGTCTAATCGTGATTAGTGATAATGTTTGGACAGGGCAAGGACCATTTTAAAATTTTAAAACCTGTGGACGAGCGATTCAATAACATTTAAAATTGGTGCTTCTGATCAGGTTCGTGTTATGTGACCGTTCCTGCAAAAATGATATGTTGTTAGCAATGTTTTATTTTCAATGTAGGAAACGGAGACAGAATCATGCAGGCCCAGGACACCCATACTGAATAACTACTCCCTTGTATTTTATTAAGACGCATTCACGTAACCATGACTCGAATGACGTTACTTTCTGTAATCACGTTCGATGACGCACACTACTCAATCTTATCTCCTCGGTTATGCTTGCAATAGACCTCTGGGCGTATTGGAACTATTTCAGTCACTTCCGCCTTTTAGTGTGTTTATGTTAGTTGTAAAATTCAAAATTTAGTTATTATTTGTTGTGCCCCAGTTATTGTTTTATAGTTATTGGGATTCGGGTCAATTGGAAAAAAATAGATGAAGGTATTACAGAGTGAAATACTTTAAATACTCAGGGATATGTCATTTGTTATTTTCTTGCCAACGATCACTGCCTGAAAGCCCGGGCGCATTACAAAAATGTGCATTCCACGTATAAGGCCTCTTTTCAGAGGTTTATGGGAATAGTTGGTGTTTTACGATAGACACACCACTTTATCTTGCTTCCATGAGGTTAAAAGACCAATATACACAGCACATTCGGAATGATAGACATTATTCGTTTAGGGAAAGCTCTGTACAAAATGCCTGCAAAAGTTTTATTAATTAGTGAAATTTGGGTACTGGTATTTGTTTTAAATACATAGACTGTAAAAAGACATTTTATAATTACATTATAAATAAAGTAACACTCATCTCAAAAAAATACATCGTGTTTCAATTCTGAATAAAATAAAACTCTGTTTATAAAACACATCGTGAATCAGTTCTGAATAAAAGTAAAACTGTTCATAAAATGCATCGTGAATCCATTCTGAATAAAGCTCTGTTCATAAAATTCATCGTGGATCCGTTTACATTCTTAAAATAATATTGTCAATAAACACGGGACAGAACTTAAGATTATACATATGAATGTACTTCAACAGCAGCTATGATGTTCATATAATGTGAGATATATAAATGTATATATTTGATATCTTATTCCTTGTTTTTGTCCTGTTTGCTTACAAAGCTATATGATTTTTAAATTGCTACAAACTAATGAATGTTTCCATATATTTTTATTTATACTACCTATCGACTGGTGATAGAGAATGAAGCATGAAGTTGGAACACTTCTGAATCATTTAAAGTCCAATTATGCCTTAAAATTACTTTTATTTTTATTTATTAAAAAATTTTCATCTTGGTGTTTTTCTAAATTATCTTAAAGGTTACTCACTGACCAGTTACATGAACATGAAATACTACTTTATTTACATTTTGCTACAAATAATGACACACTTTCTTTAGGTAACACTAACATCTTGCTTTCTATAAACCATTATTTAATCATTATAATAGTTTATGTCCGGTCGCCTATTTAATTAAATAAAACTGAATTTGTAACTGTGGCATATTGCAACTTTATTCAATTAACAAAATGCTAAAACATGGCATGTCATTGGGCTATACAATGTTGAAAATTTTATAAAGTCACTTTGAATTTACACTATTTAAAAATTTCAGACTTTTATCGGGATTCGGTATATTTAATAGGTTGATGTGCTAGTATTTCAACTTGACATTATTTAATGCTTATCTATTCCAATGACATTAAAGGTTCGTATCAAACTGATTGTAAAGTTAAGTGCAGAATGTAAAAAATAATTTCCGCAACAGTCAGAATGTAGCAAAATCTTTCTTGTTTTTTAGGATATAAAACAAATTAAAACATTTCGACAAGTTCAGTTGAAAAAAAGCGTAATCATTACCACAGTACGAACATTAAATACATGTATGTCGATGCTCTTCTGTAGGGTTTTGCGAAAATTACAAGAAAATCAGTGATTGGTTAAAAAAAAGAATTCCAAATATTCCCCAAATCAATACCATCCATAAGGGTCATGATAGCCGTTTCACCTTCCATTTAAAACATTAAAAGTACTCCAACAACCCTTTTTGCGATTTTCTCCATTTTTTATTTATCTAAACTTGTTTAGATCTTATAGGCTCTGTTTCCGTTTCCGGATTTTTTTTATAATTATGCTTTTGTTAATTACATTTATTCTAAAACGAACCAAAAATCCCTTAATCTAAAAGCTTTTAGATGATAAATGTAGTATGATTATGTGAATAATGATTTTTTTCAAAAGCGTGCCTAGAATATGAAAAACAATATCAACAAGGAAGGGCTGCATTGAACGAACGCAATCCCCAAAACAGGACCACCGACAAGGAGCTCAGGAGTGCACCAAACAGGACAGGGCACAAGGCAAAAAAAAATCTGACAGGATGTCATTACAAACAATACAAGACAGGAAATCATAGAAACGTGCAAGATAATTAAAGTTGATAATTTATTGATAGGCCTACAAAAGATAAGGGTGTAGAGGTAGGGGCCAAAAGGATGAATTGAAAGGGAATATATTAATAGTAGACAAAAAATTAAAAGAATCACAAGATTGTCACCACAATTTGATGTTACAATAAACAAGTCACACATAGAACGGCCGGCAGCATTAACACTGCTGGGAGTTTAAAATGTTTAATGGTGCACCAAACTTTACTAAGTAGAGTAAAAGTCCAAAACTGAATAAGCATTGAGTTTTTCTGCCAAGCAGTATAATAAAACAAGTCATGTGTACGTAATTAAATGAAATATTTTTGATTATTTGTAGTCAAGAATGTAAAGCAACTTCTTAAGCATAATAAAATCAAACCGCGCAAGGGAAACACCAAAATTGGTTGCTTAATGAAACGGTTTCTTAGGATTAAGCATGATAAAAAGTCAAAATTTATACATGACAGCTTTCTTTTGCGGTCGGAATGTTTTTGATTTATATAAATGTTTAATAATTAAAAAGCTCCGATAATCTAAATGGATGCTTATATAAATCAATAACTTCCCGATATTTATTGACAGAACAGTATTAATCCATTACGTACATGTTTGATATATTTCCAGAATTAATAAACTTCTCCGTTGCTTTTGCT